GTGAGAGAAAAAAAAAAAAAAAAAAAAAAGGGGGGGGGGGGGGGGGGGGGGGGTCAAACCTTGAGGAAGGCGACGGTGACAGCCAGCGCACCAAGCGTGAAAGTCCCCCCGCGACGTCGAGACGTGTGATTGTTGTATTCACGCGTGCGCTACTTGCTCATGGAGGCAAAGACACGGCCAAACGAACGCTACACCTCTGACCTCCTTCCACTCCGGCTCGTGGTACCACGGGAACGTGTACACCCTCTTGAGGAAGTCGTCGCAGAAGACGAGGACGATCTTCGAGATACCCCACTTGTCGTGCGCCGGGCGTGTCATCTTCACGTTGGTCCGGTCGTGCTCCTGCAAAAAGTAAACGCAAACGAAAAGAGGCATGTACTGATGTAAATGCATGCCGCAGTCGTTGAAGCTCGCATCCCTACAACGCCGGGACGATATACCGGGTTTTCGCCGGTCCAGGCTACGGTTCAAAAGGATGGACCAGAGCAGGGCGTACTCTTGCATGCCTAACTTGTTGACCACGTGTCTTCGACGAGAGGATGGAGAACTTTTCAAACAGGACCGATGGCCAATCGCTCCTTCCTACTTTGCCAAAGGTGGAATGGGGGGGGGTGAGAGGGAGGAAGGAGGAGGCAGCGGTGGCAGGACTCGGGACTGCCGTGCGCTCACTCCAAGCACGATGAAAAAAGGATGTTTACAATGCGCACACCTCACTTGTCGGAGAGGTTTCCAACAAACGTCAAACCAATATGGCGCCGACGCTACTGCTGTAATTCCAAGTGAGTCCAGGTGACACCCGTTTGGTGTTAAGGCAACGCCCCACAGCCATGACAAACACGACAACACATTCAGGAAGCAGGCAACGAGAGCTTTACCCGGAACAGCTAGCTGGCTTGCCATTAAAACTTCCCGCGGGTCGTTGCTGAGGTAGCAGCAGGGCCACTAGGCCTCTGGAGCAGCAGCGCGCGGACACAAAACACCGCCTCTTCGCGCAAGCCTTTCTCCAAAAGACTACCCTTCTAGTGCCCCCCGCGCGATACGAGATCTGTCTCCTGTCCCACATCCAACCCTGACACGGGCTCCATCCAGTACCTCACCAACAAACACAAGGGAATGTCAACTATGAACAAAGATTGCCAGGACTCTTTCCCATGGACAGGAATGAATTCGTTGATAGAACAAAAGCAAAACAAAGACACAGGGAGGGAAAGACACCCACCTCGTCCGTCCAGATGGAAGCTCCCCTGCTCGACAGCAACAGCTTCAAGAGGGACAAGTCCGCCCTGCCTCGCGTGAACACCAATGGCCGAGCTTCGGGGTCCAGCTGCTCCTTTGCCACCTTTTTAATTTGTTTTTTTTATAAAGTGCGTTCGGTGAAAAAAAATGGTCCATGATCCGTCGTCGTTAACGCCCTACGATGCTAGACTATGTTGTGGGTCTTCTTGATCCGAATGCCACTCCAGCCGGGCAAGGGTTAATGGATGCTGGAGAGGTCCTCCGTGGTGGAATGAAGCGTTTAGAAATGAAATAGTACCGCGCAAAAGGTCTCTTGTTTGTGCGGGGGGTGTACAGCTGCAAGTGAACGGGCAGGGGAGCACCTGAAAGGACGCGCCGCAGTAATTAGCCGATCGCTGTCCTCTCAGACAACGATGTGCCCAAAAACATACCGAACGCAACGTATGATAGATATCACACCGCCTGGCCCGATTTTCGAAGCTCGATTTCTCGGCAGGAAAAGCAGTGACGGTGCCGACAATGGCGGCGTTGGAACCGTCTCGTCGAGCGTTTTCCGAAACCATATCCTTTGATTTCGGCATTCTCTTCGTCGTGGAGTAATCGAGCTTTGAAAATCGGTCCAGGGAGTGTGACATCTTACGCAACCTGGTAGCCGGATACCACAGCTTGATCTCTACTTCTTTAAAGGAAATGTTTACGGCAGCGACACCTCTATGAGTGCAATTGCAATGCTCCCACTAGCACTCTTGTGGACTCTCGAGCCCTTCCCAAAGCAATGGGGGCATAGCGACGGGAGAACGCGTGGTACGGGGGGAGAAGGTGTTCAACAGATACGACCACACACGGACAAAACGCGGTGGATTTAGCTCACCTGTTCAATCACCGGGGTTGTTTTGTCCTTGAGCTTCACCTGGCCACTTGGTGGCACGAGGATCTCCCCGCCCACATTACGAGGCGCGGCTGATACCATCGCCGCCATCATCGTGCGTGCTTGTGGTCTGTCTGTTGTCTTTCCCACAGCTGCCGAGCGGCGAGTTCAGGAAAGGGAGTTACAAGTTCGAGAGGGATTATGGTTCGCGCAGGGAGGGGCAAGTTGACATGACACACAGAGCCCCGTCACTTGTTGTGCCGCCTTTCTGCTTTCCGAAACAACCTAGAGGCTCGGTTGCTGGCGCTGTGTGAGTGCAGGGTGGACACTGCCTCGTGCGCAGTAGGCTAGAACCGAGATGGTGGAACTTTGCAATGCTGAGCGTCTAGGATGGGCGGTCCTGACAATTCTAACGGCCTTTGTCGCAGCAACCCCTAGGTAAAGTGTATGCAGCAGCTCGCGACGACTCGCATGTTTTGCGGCTGCCTCACGTGTTGCAAACGGGGCGTGTGAAGCGGGCGGGTGTGACGTTGGGTGCCTACACCACAGCCGACACGCTGATGGTGCGCTGGGTCGCCCATAGAGAACTTCTAGCCGCCAACCAAATGTCGCACATTTTTCGATTTCAGGATACCGAGAATCTCTCCGCGTTTGGCACCTGTATACTGCTGTAGCGTGGAGGGTGGAGGATCTCAAGTGCGACTACGTATGATATTGTTGTGGGTTAGGAGTCCTGTTCCAAGAACGGCACTGCGCTACAGAAGCAGTAGTATACCGCCCGTGTGCGTGTCGTTACAGCTACGCTTTGTCCTGACTTGCCCCATTGGCGGGGCTACAATTTTGGAGCTCGCATCGATGCCTTGCGTGCGACGAACAACAGCGTTGCTATCAAGGAACATATATTGAATACCTGATCCCAGCCGAACCCCGGCAAACTGATGGGATTGTCAGCTGCCACAGCAGTTAAGCAGAGAAGCCGGGGTCACCAGCGCACCCATCATCCCGTCAGTCGGGGGCCTCGGCCAAAAGCCCCGGGGAAAAAACATCCCACCATTTGCATGTATTCCCGCGTTCTCACCGCACCCGCACGTCCCCGGCTTGGCGACCAAACCTAACATGCAAGCAGGTTGTACTCGATTTTTCTGCACGGCAAGCTCCGGCCCGGGGCTTCTACGACCTCGGAAGCTGGCTTTCCGCTGAGGTGGCTCAAGGTTGAGGTGCCCAAGCGCTTGTTCTCCCACTTCTACTTCTTCTGCCTTGTGTCGAGCGCGCTCGTCTTCATCGACACGATCTTATACGGCGGTTCTCTCTTCGTAGGGAGCGTCCAGGTGCGCCATTGAAGCTACCAAGAGGCGAAACCCGTTTGAGAGGAGGGGGGTGTACTCACGCAAGCGCATGCCGTACTCTAGTCGTTAGACCTCGCTTCCCGACAATGCCAGGACGGAGGAGCGATTTCGCCGGTCTAGGCTACGGTTCACCAGGATGAACCAGAAGCTGGTCACCCTCCCGGCGTTCTTTGCTGTGCCAAGCCAGACATGCCATTTGAGAGGAGCGGTGGAGAGGTTGTGGAAACCCTTCGGCGTGTTCGGTTTGCTGCGGTTGGTTTTTGTCGAGGGCGCTGTACGTGGAAGAGACATCCTCCACTCTCGATCGTTTCTGACTTTTGTGGTGTTGTCTCCTCTTGTTCCCGGACCTACCTAATACCTGGCACGCCAGTCTTGTGGAACGAGCTTGCCCTTTGCCGCCTTAAAACACAGTAAGGTTCCACCATAATTCACACCCCGAGGATACCGCAAGAGCGTCTCGAAATCCTTCACCCAGTCTTGCAAGTAGGGTTGTGCCACGGCTGGGTCAGAACCGGGTTCCCGCCACCGGGTACCAGGTTCTGGGACTACTACAACGCTACTAGGGGCCCGTATGTGTTTGGCGGGCGAACTTTGAGGGGTGAGAAAAGCCCACCAAAAGGGTTTGTCATCCATTCACGATTTTGCTCTATGTCGGTTTTGCTACTCTCGGCATGAGGTCCTATGCACTCCGTACATCGCGCGTGGCATGGTGAGAAATCGAGAAGCACGGCGTTCGGCTCGACGTCACACATCCCTTGGGTTGCGAGGTATCCCAAGGCAGATATTTTCTCGGGTACCCGCTGTTACACCCGATTCCCTTCTCCACGGTTTTCGGGATATTTGGGTGTTTCCAACCCACCCGCTCGGCAGCATTCTATATCGGCATTCCGCCTCCCACGGCCACAAAACTCCCACCATTCTCACCACCACCCACTTCTCCCTGCCTGAATCTAGGGGAAGAGCGTTTGTTCAAGGGTCGCTGGGAGGAGTGATCAAGTGCTAGAGCTAGGGGTCGAGAGCCTCCTCTGTCTGCTGCTCCTCAACCTTCATGCGGCCCGGAGGCTGTGGGAGTGCGTCATGGTGTCCTCCTGGGGATCATCGCGAATGTCCCTCGCTGGATACGCGGTGTGTGTTTGTTGCTGTTTGTTGTCGTTTTTTGTTGTCGGGGTGCATGGTCTTTGTCGTTGCGGATGCTTTTTTTTTTTTTTTTTTTTGTTCTTCACTTCAAATCAGCGCTCACAGCACTAGTGCCCTTTATTCCAACCCGTGGTCACACAGAAGAGCCTCTCTCTACCCTCCCCTCCTGCGGTACTTCGCCTTCAATTTTTAATGCCTTGCTTCGGATGCTTGCCTTGCTTTGAAACCTTGTTTCCAGCGCCAGAAGGGCAACCAGCCAGCACTGTATTTGCGGCGGTCACTTCGAACTCCCTCTTCTGAAAACAAGGGCAGGCTCTGTTTCTTGGCGTTGTGGCTGCGGAGATCGCCCGCACTGATGCACCAAACCGAATCGAAGGCGTCATTTGCCGCGCTCGTGCCGCCGGCGTGCAACGTATGCTGCTCAATAACGGCGCGCGTGAGGCACACCTATCCGGTTTAAGTTTCATCCTCCCCCGGCAGTTCAACAATATTTTGTTCCTTGTCTGGAAATGTTGGTTTGTTCCCGGCTTCCACGAAGGGTTCCTTTTTTTTAGTTCCAGATAAAGGACGGACGCCTATGACGCCCCCTCCGGATTTAGCTCAAACCCACACCCCTCCCCGCCGCCGTAAATTGTGATGCAGGCCGGCGTCGTGCACTACCAGCTGATGGTTTTCACAGTTCTTGTGGAGGCTCCCCCGCTGGGTCTCCTGGCTGAGGAGGCCTGGTCGAGGTCGAGCGGCGGCGCCTCGGACATCGTCCTGGCGCTAGCGACGTCGGTGAAGCTCCGCCACGCCGTGGCGATGGGTCTGTTCATCATCGGCTTTGTCCGGCAGCACGAGGCGATCCGGCATCTTGCTAGCCTGAAAGGGAACGTCGGCACCAAGGTGTGTGTGTGTGTGTGTGTGTGTGTGTGTGTGTGTGTGTTTATTCGCGTCGACCGCGCTAACCGGCTGACCAATGAAAAGACGTCAGTCTCGGAGCGGTTGAAAACACGAAACACTTCTAAATGCCATTAACTGGGACCCCGTGTGGGGGCGGCATGGGGGAGACCAACCTATTCTCCGGATAAAAAATAGAACCAGTAGCAACAGAAGAAAACTGCATACGTCTGAGAAGGCTGTTTGTGTGTGTGTGTGTGTTCACACTTCACAACGAAGATGGGTTCTGCGGGTAAGCACGCACTTTTTGCCACCCTGCCAACGGTGGGCAAGAAAGATAAGCACGATGTTGGCGCTAGTCTTGCAATGTCGGTGTGCCGCCCGTGCGTGCTACCCACCAAGCACAGAGCCCTTCTGCCTCGGAAATGACCTATTGGGCAAGATCTAGTCGGTATTAGCATTACTGCGTATATGGGGGCTGTCTGTTGGTCTGTCGGGGACGGCATGGAGTGATACGAGCGCAAGGGCCGCGTCTTACTCCGTCAGCCCCAGAAATATTGTGCTGTGTAGCATCGACGGATACACCGCAATCTCGTTCACCATCGCAGCATATGTACGCGAAACATCAACGCGGGCTGCTGCTGTAGTAGCAGCTGTCGTTGTTTCGCGGCGTTCTCGCCCAACTAGGGTGAGGGTCACCGAGGAAAATTATCCCCGGTTGTCTTCGGCAAGCAACCACTGGAGCCCCGCGCCCTGCGGCACGACCGCCACCCCTTCCACCTCTTTCGTGCACCCCATCGACCACCCAGGCGACCAAGTACGCCATTCCCACGGCGGGCTGGTTCCGGTACGTGTCGTGCCCGCACTACTTCGCCGAGCTGCTAGTGTACGGCTCCTTCGTCCTGCTGGGGAGCTTCAAGGGCCGAGGTCTGGGGCAAGGCTACCTCGTGGCGTTCGCATGGGTGTTCGCGAACCAGGCGCTGGTCGCCGGTTGGGTCCAGGCGTGGTACCAGCAGAAGTTCGAGGACTACCCCCGGGACCGTAGGAGACTTATCCCCGGGGTGTGGTGAAGGGGGCGTGCATCGAAAAACGGGGGTAGGACATCGTGGATGACACGCTCTTGTTGTGGATGCGGTGCAGTCAGTGTTGAGGACAAGCAACTGTTAGGTTCAAATCGCCCACTTGTATCGTGCAAAGGTTGTGCCGCGTCATGTAAAAGGAGTCTGCCCCGCCTTTCCAAAGGCCACACCAGTTATGCCTTTCGTAGCACGCACATGTACACGTATAGAGGGTAGTATTCCAGTCGAAGTGCTTGACACCAGCGGTGTTATGCAACTGTGCAAGTACCAGAGATACACAGCTCCGGGTCACGCTCTCCTGTTGGTTATCACCTGACTCATCATACAATCTAGACATCTGTTGGAGGCCACGACCTGCTTTGCAGGTGGAAACTGTCAAGTGTACAATCAGCAGAACACGGATTGTTGTCGTTTGCAGCTGTCTTCCGTCGGGGCCGGGTTCGAGATGCTGTTTTTGGCACGTTGGGTTACTTCGCGTACGAGTGGCTTCGATACGTGTATGCCTAGCTGAGCACACGCTCCTGCCTTCGAATGTTCTGGCTCCTTGAGGATATGAGCTATCCGCGAATCGACGCTCTTTACCTCACGTTGTCTGCGGTGAACTACGTGTCGTAATTGTTAGAATACGGGGGATTTCAAAGTTACTTGTTTTTTTTGCGTTTCCTGCGTGTTATTTGCGGAATCTGGAGGCAAATTCATTGTTGTTTGTTTGCTACCGCGTTAGTAGTCGAGGGATCTTGTGTTTGGGATGGGCAATCTGTTTGGGCGGATAAAAGTTGTGTTTGGGACCATGTTGCAGCTGGGGGGCTGTGAATCTGTGACGATACGTCTTGAGAGGGTAGACTGTTGAATGATGACTCTATGCATAGAATGTGAAATAGAATGAAGGAAATCGGGGGTTTGCGGAACGGGACTGAATCGTCCAGTGGCCGGCCCGTAAGAATTGGTGGAGGAGTATAATTCCAGAATCTGAATGGTAGATCCGAGAGTCGGAGGTGGTCCGTGAAGATATGCTTTGGATACAACGAACGATGGATTTGGATTCGGGTTTATTGACTTACTAGCTTTTCGCCTGGCGATTCGTGAGGAAGGTTTCGTAGATCGTAGATTGTATTTCTTGTTTGCGTCGGGAGGCTGTTAGTGTGTACTCGGCAGAACATGAATCTCCGGGTGGTACGTGGGTGAACTCTATGGGTTGATGGACTTGACTCGCGAGTTTCCGCTCGGGCCTCGCCCCCCCCCTGTTCTCACTCATCATAACGGTCACGTTCTGTGCAGAAACGCTCTCAACAGGAAGCCCCCGCGAGCGTGACAACAAACCACACGTGCCGAAACCACAATAACAACGTACGTATATTATTCGAAGAATATGCCCACATCTACAAAGGTAGATAGACTACCCCGTTCGAGATATTTCCACTTTCGAAGGGGATGCGATGATGAAACCTTCACGGTGAACGCGGGGGAAACCTGCTACAATGGTAGTTTGCATGTTTCCGACTCGCTCGACAACCAGATCGCTCTCCATGTTCGTAAAAAAAAGTAGTCACCCGGCGGCGATATACGTAATTTCAGAAGAAAGAGTGGTCTCATGTTGGAATACACACGACTAATGTAGCCTTCAGATAGATCCTGTGTACGCCTTTTTGCACCTACCACGGCGGGGCACTAACCTCACACCAACCGATAGGGAGTTGGTGACGACTGGATCATAAGTCTGATATATGTAGCTAGAGATAAACAATATGCCGTGTCTTTCGTTCTTCTTGTATACCAGTATAATAGTCTATGTGTCAATGTAGCTTTATCAACAACCGAGCTGTATCAACCGTCCGTCCATTGCCCTCGACAACGACGTAGCAAAGTCGCCTCACATGGAGACAGACCACCATGGAGACCGCCATTTATATTGATTCGACCAAGCAGCACAAAAATCTTGTCGGTGGTTAGTCGGCCGTCCAAACGCGGGGCCACGATATAAATGTACCAATATACACGAAGTATAACACTCCGCCTTGCACGATAACGATAACGATAACGATTGTGACGATGTTTGACGCGGGTTCAGTGTGGGGCTACATAGTCCGACCTGTGCGCAGGTTGGAGCCGCTTCGCTTCTTCAGTCCGTTTCCTTCCTTGTATCCTTCCTTTCTCTCTCAGTCGCTCGCTATCGCCCTCTCCCACGCAATACTGAGAAAGGGGGAACGCTTGTAGATCGCCTGCTGCTGCTACATACTAACGATTGCCGCTATATAAGTCAGAATCCTTGTACAATAGGAGGGGCAGGTGGTCGGGAAATTCCTAGATGGTACTATAATTAGTCCAACAGTCCAAATACCATACTGTAACACGATACAGCACATGTCAACGTTTGTGTAGCAGTGTACTGCTGTGACCTCACATCAACCGGTTCGTGTTCGTGTTGGGGTTTTAGGCATATTCAGGGGTATGTACAACCTGCTTTTAGACAACTAGTCTTCTACGGCCGTAGCTTCTTGCGCAAGCTCATGATTCCTTACGAAATTTCAAAATTTCTCGGGGACGGAAAATATAAAAATTCGCTCCCCCTCATGTTTTCCGTTTTGCCGCGGTTGGCCCACACCACGTGCAATCGGATTTCATTAGAGAACTCTCCCCCCCTGCCTCTTCAGCAGTTTCGTAAGTCGAGGGGAGCTATCTACCGCTTCTCCAGGACAGCAGCTCTTGTTTTTTCTCCAAGGACCGGAGTTACTCGGCAAGCAGATTTGCAGGTGATGTGTTGCGTACCCTCCTAAATAAAGCATGACGCAGACGTTTCACGAGCAGCGCGTGCTCGCACCAGAGGCTACGGGCCAGTGGCTTTGGATTGTTTCGGTGGCCTCTCTCGGTGCTTTATGCGCGGCCTTGGGCATTGGAGCCAACGATGTCGCAAACTCCTTTGCGACATCTGTGGGGAGCAAGGCCTTGACTCTGAAGTGAGTACAACCAACTTGCTTTTTTTCAACCCTTCGGTGCAACGTTACTATAACCCTAAATAATCTCCTGCAATAAAACACCCAGATATGGTTCTGCAAACCGTTGCGATGCCACCTCAAACTCAACGACTGCTGTAACACGTGGGCTGTCTTGATGGGAAGGTTCAAGGAGGGCGGACTGCTGCTTGCCGCCGCTTTGCCCGCTGTGGCCTGCTGCTGCTGCCCCCCGTCGGTTCTGATTCTGTGTTTGTCTCCTCGTTCCTGTACATATGCCATGCAGTTCCAGTTCACTTCATCCGTGTCTCAGTCTCGCGCACACTGCGGTCGTTCGTTTTTTCGTTTTTTCCCATGGCGCCTTGCAATGACACAACAGGAAAGCGCTGTTGCTGGCGGGCATATGCGAGTTCTTTGGTGCGCTGCTCCTGGGTCGTCAGGCGATGACAGCGATTTCCGAGAGCATTGCTGATGTGAGTATGCATAGTCTACCACGCTTATATTCTACCTGGAGCGCACAAACATTTGTACACTGCTGTACTTCGTATTTATTTGTTCCTGCGCACGAAAGGATGAGGCATGGGGTAGAACATTTACCTGTGTTCAGGCGGACAGCAAGTATCTTCGCGACCCTACGTAAGTTCGCCGAACTCTATCATGAGGCGTGCACTGCGTTTAGCTACGTTCGCACTGGACCTGTGGGTTACTACCATCTTTTGTAGTGCACGTTCCGCCGTCTAAGCAGGTACATAGTTCCCTTGTTCTTGTTGGTGTTTTCGGGGGGGGGTTCTTGAAAAACATCACGTGATCACGTATCATTTGAGCGATACGACACTTACATGCAGCTGCGTCTTGGTTTTTTCGCACCCTTGCAAGCTACCAACCACAACGTTGTTGGTGGTTCCATTTTTTTAGCTGTGTATCGGCGGCAGCTAGGTTTCTCTGTGCAGAATCGTTGTTGGACTCTCGCCGAGTGGCAGCAGGGTAGGTGCGCAATTTTTAGAGAAACGTATGCATACGGAACCGTAATTTGATTTTGACATGTCAACGGTAACCCCGTGTCCAGTTTTCTGCATCGGTAGCCCTAGGATACAACTTGATCAATTCCATCATGTCAACTATGAATGTCACGCGATTTGATTTGCGAGTCGGTAGCCCTTGCAGCACTTGTAAACTACTGTACCTGTTGTATGCATACCAAGCACCGACGCGCCAACCACCGCTTTTCCCAAGTTACCAACAAGTTACCAAACTTTGTGCCTGCTGCCATCTCCCACACTACTGTTGTTGTTGTTGTTGTTGTTGTTGTCGTTGTTGTTGTTGTCTTAAACATTAAAAATCGTTCCGTTCTCTCTGCCCACGGTACCTTCCTCTGTCCGTACTTATAGTCTAACACTTGACGGGGCCGATTCCCGTGGTCACAGGCCAACTTACCCAAAAAAGGTATACGAGAACAAGATGGACCCGAAGGGTCCGCAAGCCAATAAAAGTCTACGGCAGATAGTCTAGGCCACTCCGCTCGCCTCTACACGCTATGCGAGGTAACCCTAGATTAGAAAAAGAAAGAAAAAAGGAAAAGAAAAAGAAGAAGAAGAAGAGGGCAGATGGAGAGACGGGAAAGCGATCGAGAAAGACACAGACAAAGGAAGACACACGCTATAGCGACAGACCACAAACAAACATACGGAGCAACACAATACAACACAAAACACACAACTCAAAACGGGCCACCTGAGCCAGCAAATGCACGTCATCGCTCTTGGGGGGTTGGTGCAATGGTACGATGCCGGGGGGGGGGGGGATGAGTCCAGCAAGGGGTTCAATTCGGCCCAGTGTTTCGCGTCACTCGGTCCGCCTCTTCGCGTTTCCTGTCTTTCCTCGCCGTCTCGTCCGCCTGCTGTACCCCTCCCGCCCCCGTGGTTGTTGCCGTGTCCGTGTTGTTGCCGGGCTTCTTGTTTCGGTTGAGCGCTCGTTGTCGGCTAGCCTCCTCATCCTTCTTGTGCCAGGAGGCCATGAACCTCTTAGCTCCCTGCAGTACCCCTGTATGCCACGGTACCCCCTGGTCCACCTTCGCTGTTTCCATCCAAGTTGTTTCCGGGACTCCAAAGAAAGATGGCTCGGCGTCCGTAGATCCGTGCTCTGCTTCGAACATCTTGAGGTCGTCCTTCAGGCACATCGACCAGTTTTGCTCCGGTTTCCCCCTGCCTGGGCCCTCCCCCCCCCCCAGCTCGCCAAGCATCACCCGTTTTGGGGAGTCGTCCGTCTGGCTGCCTTGCCGGCGCTCCCGCGAACAGCTGGCGCCGTTGCCGAATCACTTTCCACGCTCTGGCACCCTACCCTCTTCAGGGTCTGGGCGTAGGAAAGCTGCCGGTAGGCGCCCTTCTTGCGTTGGTAACCGATAACTCGCAGGAGCAGTCGGTGGTGTATCGTCCGCAGCGTCCGGTATTGGTCTTGACGTGGGGCCCATGTCATGCAGCCGTACAGCGGTGCCTCCATCGCCTCGGCCTGGAGCAGGTGAGTCTTGAGTCGGAATAGTGCTTTCGGCCTGTCGAAGAGCGCCTGGACATGTCTCCTGACGCATGCCCACGCTGCTCTGCTCCGGTAATTGATCTCCCGGGTGAGGTCGCCATGTTCGTTGACGAGGCCACCTAGGTACCGGAATTCAGTCATCTGGGCGTACCTCTGCCATGCTTCCTCGATGATCAGCGGTGGCGGTGGGGGCGGTGGCGTTGTCTGCGTCTCCTTTGCGCGCATCAGGAGCGTCTCCGTCTTTTTCTCCGATACCGTCAGCCCGAACTCCCCGAGCACCTCCACGATGACGGTCATCATTCTCGCCAGTCCTTCGGCAGACCTCGATACGACGCCGGCGTCATCGGCATACAGCATCCCCCCCGCATGGTGTCTTCGCCTCCGTTCCCGTCTCCTCCTCCAGGTACACACCAGGTTCTGCAGAATAACATCATCCTCGCTGAATCTGGGAGTTTTGTGTTATTTACGTTGCCCATGGGCAGCCCATGCGCCGCCCATTGGCACTTCATGGACTGGCCCATGGGCTGCCCATGAGCTGCCAATGGGTGGGCCCATGGGTAACCCATGAACTCTCAACGAAGTGCCCACCGTGGGCACTTAACCTGGAACTTCGCCACCGGCATATCAACCTAGATCTTCACCTTAGCCACCGGCACATCAACCTAGAACTTTGCCACCAGCGCCAACCTAGGACGTATCGTGTGGGCTTGGGATTAGGGTTAAGACTTAGTGTTAGTATCTTTAGCCGTTACAATTCCCCTTCCAAAGCTGGTAATCTATTGTCTAGGAGTACGCTGGTTCGGTTGAAGGGCACTCAATGACGGTCCACCGCCCATGGGCTACCCATGGGCATTCCCCATGGGCGGTTTAGCAAAACTGTAGAAAGTGTGGGAGACCCGAATCGCTGGCACGCGACTACCCTACAGATAGCGCCCGCAGTTAAGAAAAAGCATGTTAACAAAGAAGGCTCAAGGTTTTTACGAAAAATGTGAAACAAGGGCCAAGAAACATAGCTCAATCTCGGCCACAACGTAAGAAACGCCCCAATATGAAACACGATGGTGCGATACCCCCATGACATCAGAAATCTTCGGTGCTCCCACCCCCCTACCTAGCTGAACAGAAGTGCATGTTTTTTTGTAGGGGGCAGAGTGGTTATTTTCGCGCCGCCCCCCCCGCCCCTGCACGGAAAGCAACAACGAAACAGCTGTGGCGTCGCATGGTACCTTCGAAGAGTGAAAAGAACCGCATAGCTGTAGGGACATTTTCTGGTCGACATCAGAACTTGACAGCATGAAGCCGCGACGCGGGTGGTCGATTTCGGGGGCGACAATATCACGCCACGAGCCTCCCTCGCAAACAGAAGGAAAGTATGAAATTTTGGTTGGGGTCGGTAGGTTGATTTTCCGTCCGGGATCTTACGGCATCAAAATGCATCCCGCCCAGCAGGTGAGCTGCTTCCTCGACAACCCCGGTGTGCTCATGTACGGCATGATGTGTGTCTTGTACACGACGGCGATGTGGCTCCTGCTCGCGTCCTACCTCGAGCTTCCCGTGTCCGCCACCCAGTCCACGATCAGCAGCATTGTGGGGATGACCCTCGCCTACGGGGGGCGAGCGTGCGTCGTTTGGCACCGAGAATCGGAACACTTTCCTGGCTTTCAAGGAGTCGGCGCCATTCTCCTGTACTGGCTCCTGTCGCCGATCGTCGCGGGGGTCGCGTCGTGTCTGGTGTTCCTGGCACTCCGTACCTTCGTGAGTGCTCTTTCCTGTGTGTCGAATTTTATGTGGCTCCTGCCTCTCCTCCTATGCCTGTGCCCTTTACAAGCCGAAGTCGAACCTTTAGACTCTTAGTCAGCAAAATAGCTTTATTTCGGCTTCTGTATCCCCCCCCCTGCCCCAAATAGTTGGAGCAGCATGCAGGGTGCTAGAATGTACCAATGAGAGTACGCTGCTCGTTTTTAACAGTGTCCCCGCCATACCCATTCCACGTTTGCATCGTGTGAAACTCTTTCATGCAGGTACTGCGGTCTCCCCACGCCTTCCGACGATCCTTCTGGGTGTTCCCCGTCTTGGTAATGATCATTGTCGCCCTTGACGGTGAGTAGATTAGACCAACAAAGGCTGATTTCGAATGCCACCTACATGCCACCTACATATGCTCTACCCAAACTTGCTGCGGCTGCTGGTACCACCGGCTTCTAGGCACTGGTCGTTTCGGAGCCACAGGTATCCCTTGGCACGAGGAGTCGATGCAGCGAAATCCGTTCGTCACGCACACATTTTCATCGTTTGCATGGAGTTTTTCCTTCGACCTAGCCGCTTTGATACCAACGGCTTGATCTATTTCTCAACCCCGGCGACGGTCTGAGATTGTTCTCCAACTCTCCAAGGCTCTTATCCACCATGCACTCCGTCGACAAGGAGGCCAACAACGCTGCTGCACTCGCTCTCTCCCCCCTATCCCCTTACCATGACCGCACACGAACTGCACCGCGACGACATATATTGGTTTTTTTAGCATGTTTGTTTCCCCTTTTTTTCTGGAACGCCCCCCTGCCCATACGCACCCAATATTTTCCGGTATGGCACTCCCGAGCCCTGATTTTTGTCCCTATGTTCGTGGTTTGGTCAACAGATGCAGGAGACGTTTCGTTTCTTCACCCATGGTTGTTTCCCCCCCCACACACCCCGAATGGGAGGTCAATGGTTTAACGATTACAGCATGCAAGGCCATGAGTCCCCCCCCCCCCCAAAACAGATGCAGGATGGAAGGAGTATGTTGAAAGTAGAAAGAGGGTGAAGGAGTTGGTCGTGAAGAAGAAGAAAGGGTTGTGGGAGGAAGTAGTCCAAAAGACTAACGAAGATTTTGAGGGGGGGATGAAGCAAATGTGGGTAGGAATTCAAGGGATAGTGGGCAACAAAAGAGGGGGAGACACGGAAATAACGACACTAAGATCTGCCGAGGGTAAGATGGTAAGCAGTTCTAAAGGAAAGAGGGAAGTACTAGTAGAGCACTACCGCAAACTTGGGACACCCACCACCAACGACAACTTCGACTCGGAGTTTGAGAAGGAAATCAACTCGTGGGCAGAGGAAAACGTTGAAAGCTCTCAGAGGGAACGTAGTGATGTAGACGGGTTGCAGGGAGAGTTCACACGAGAAGAGGTAGAGGACTGCGTAGCGAAACTCAAGAATAGAAAAGCGGCAGGGGCTGATGGAATTGTGAACGAACTTTTGGAACAGGGGGGGGAGGGGATGATTAACATGTTGGTCCGGATATTCAACTGGATATGGAAACACGAGTACGCGCCGAAGAGATGGAGAGAAGGAGTAGTCGTGAACCTGTTCAAAAAGGGAGATAAAGCTGACCCGGGGAATTATAGAGGGATAACCCTGTTGAGCACAGTGGGGAAACTGTTTGGCAAGATGATAGACAATAGAATGGGAGACATGTTGGAGGGAAAACAAAAGATCAGCGAAGGACAAGCTGGATTTAGACCAGATCGTAGTTGTGTAGACCATGTATATACGTTGAGTAAAATCATCCAAGGTAGGAAAGACGCCGGGCGTGTTTCTTCCTCGATATACAAAAAGCCTACGACACCGTATGGCGCAATGGATTGTGGAAAAAGATGTGGGACATCGGCATCCGGGGGAAAATGTGGAGGATGTTGAAAAAGATGACAGAATGCACAAGAAGTGCGGTGATGTTGGATGGGGAAATTTCGAAGTACGTGGATATACTCCAAGGAGTCGCACAGGGCTGTACGATGTCACCCACTCTTTTTAAGATTTACATCAACGATTTGATAAGGGCGGTTGAAGCAGTAAGACAGGGAGTCCAAGTAGAGGGAAAGAGTGTGTCCGGACTGATGTTTGCAGATGATTTCGTGCGGGTATCCGAAACACCAGAAGGGTTGCAAGAACAAATAGATGCGGCGGTAGGATACACCCGAAAATGGAGACTGTCGGCGAACGTAGGAAAATGCGCAGTAGTGGTCTGTAACGAAGATAAGAAAATCCCGTAGAATTCAAATGCAAATGGGGGGAGGAAGAACTACCGGTAGTAGACAAGTATACGTACCTGGGAGTAGAGATTTCGAAGGAGTGCTCATGGGACGCACACATAGCGAAGTTGATTGGGAAGAGCAAAGCTCAGATAGGCAAGGTGGACGAGATCCTTACGGACCCACACCTAGACACTAGGATTAAGAGGTGTATTCTCTTGAATGTGATTGTACCTAAGCTAGAGTATGCAGGAGAGATATGGGAAGGTAACGAAAAGGCCGTCAAGCAGCTGGAAACGGTGCAGATGGCAGCGGCCAAGAAAATACTAGGATGTTCAAGTACAACGAGCAACACTGTATTGAGAGCAGAATTGGGAATGTACTCTCTTAAAACAAAGAGAGACATGCAGAAGTTGAATTGGCAGTACAAGGTAAGTAGAATGTCGGACGACAGACTGCCAGCCATGGTTGACGAGGCAGCTTGGGGAAAAGCGACTCCAGGGAAGAAGGGAATCAGATGGGACAAGGTGGTAGAGAAGGTTTGGAAGGAGATAGGAGACGAGGAGGAGACGTTGGACACGGAAGGGTTCGGGGGGTTCAAGACGAAAATCAAGGAGATGCTAGAGAGTAGGGAGGAGGCAACCCTTCGGAAGAAGGTACGAAGCGAAGACCACTTGGAGATATACGGGAAGTTGAAAGAAGGGATAGGGATGAAGAAGTACTTGGACGGCCCCATGGACTATGCGAAAAAGCTGAAATTGCAATTTCGAGTAGGCGATCTGGACTTGCCAGAACGGAGGAAGAGGTATACCAGCCGTAGGAGAGAGGAAGAGGAGGATAGACACACATGTCCATGTGGCAAATCGGAGGATAGTAGACCCCACATAGTTGGGGAGTGTGAGTTGTACAGGAAGGAAAGAGAGGATCTCGAGGAGGAACTGAGACAGAGAGGGTGTGACAT